GCGTTTCGGCCGGCTTTGGACGCAGTGCCAGCGTTGCCAGGGCAGCATGCACGGCGAGGTCATATGCAGCAGCAAGGACTGTCCCATTTTCTATATGCGCATGAAGGCCAAGAAGGACGTCGAAGATGCAGGCAAAGAACTGAAGAGATTCGACTTTGATCAAGCTGTTATGTGGTGAGATTTTAACGGATGGTAGGAAATATGGATAGGTTCTTCGTAATGATGCATCACGGTATGGCGTGTGAGGCGTTCTTTGGGTTTCTTGTCAGGGGCATCCACATTGAGGACATATCCATATGGATCTTAGTTAATTCGACCTCATAGCTGCCATACTCGAGATCATGATACATGTATTGTACACATCGAAGTCCGTTTTGATTTGTTAAGTCTACGAGGGTGATCAGCTCTGCTATTCTCCGCGCTACCACTATATTATGATTTGGAACTACCAACCTTATTACGCATTATGAATATGATGGTGAGCATGAAATTGAAGTATGGAGTTGCCGATTGTTGGCCCAGGCGAAATCGGCCAGCTGAACTTTAGCGCCGGTGCCGGAGCCTTCAGTTAGTCGCATGCCCCAAGGCACACTACATCAAGCGCGGTCGGTACTGACAGGGCTGTTAGGAACGTGCATGTTTATAAAGTCAAGTGCATTACTTGCATGCGGGCTCCCCGTCTGTCTGGGGCTTTCGGCCCACGCCGCTCATCAGGGACTAAATCCTTCCCTCGTTAAGCGCGCCAGGAGAAGTCAGCCCCGAAGCCTCGCAAATGCCAGAGAAAAAAAGGCGTCTCCGAGATTCGGAAAAAATCCATTTTCTCGAAGCTAATTCGTCCATGTCAGCTGTCAATTGCATTTCATAATCTCTGTGTGCTACGAATGGAAGCTGAAGATCCGGGGTAATGGACGTGAGTTCTACGTGTACCCTTCAAAAACTCCTCGCGCTCTGCTGCGTAATGTGATGTGATCATGAGACTTGCAAACATTCGTAATGCTTTGCGGTCCGACAGAAACTAGTCTGAGGGACCCTTGGGCCTTGCGGGATCACTGTTATGCCGAAAGTGAAGATTATGAAGCCTGCTTGTTACGATGGTCTGTCACGATGGTCTGTCACGATGGTCTGTCACGATGATCTGTCGCGTGAGGTTCTGATGCCCCCAACGGCACCGCCCCAAGTAACACCAGGTAGGATCCTTCGGGTTCTTTGGTCCAAACCCTCGGTGATCATTAATGTTAAAATGTGTTTGTACCTACTTGATGGCCGACAGCGCTCGACACAAGCAGCCCTGCTATACTTTATCCAGCGACTGCAGATCGGCAGTCGAAACAATGCAGAATGACGCTTATGTAAGCCTGATAATCACATCGAAAATGGTGAAGAAAATACCGCAATTAAATAATCTGGGGAAAAAGCAAAGTGGTTCAGCGTGGTTGGCTGCGATATCGTCGCAAAGCTGGTGGAGGGGGGACATGCGCGCGAGAGAGAGAGATCTTCTAACCCCCCACACGCTGCCTCCCTCGGTCGTTTCAAGCCTTTTGCTTCCACATGCTTCAAGGCCTCGAGCAGGGCTCTGAAAATCACACCTGATTTTTGGGGAGCGAGCTGATTCGACTTCCGAGGTTTATTCTTCAGGATGACTCGACTAGAAGGAAACTCAATTGTCATCTAGGTACCTAATCAGATCAATGTATTGATCGCCACGGTATAAAAAAGGCTTATGTTGATATAGCGGCTACTCATATAATATACTCCACTATATATACATGTTTGACAGTCAAAGTCGCCTCAACTCTGATTCGAGTCTAGCCTCAACAAGTCGGTTCGAGTCAAGTCACCTTAATTAAGCGAGACATCTTTCTACCCCCCACGAGCTGCCTGGGCTCGGCGGTTTCCAGCCATTCCACCCTCCTGGGATCGCAAAGACCCGACGTCGTCATGGGGCCGATCGTAGTAGGACCATGCTGTCCCTAGCTTGGGATGAAATTTCCGCGTCCAGTGGACAATATTATCATTCGAAACGAGTCATATCAACTTTATCGCTCTATCGCCGAAGACGGTGATGGCAAGAGCTGAGCGTAAGATAGGACAGGAAACCACCATGTCGCCCTATTTACACGACGTTTCGGTATATAATGCCAAATTCCTTCTGCTCTTTCTTCATCTTCGTCTTCGTCTTCAATCTTTGTGACATCACCACAGCTTATCTTCATATCTCTTGGTATACCCTAGATCTACGGCACATTGCACTAGTTGCACGGCCTAAGCAGAACTAAAGTTCACACTTATCAACGTCCTATCATTGGTGATACCAACAAAAGCACTCTGGACTTATATTAAGTTGGACAAATCTCTCTGATAGAAAACTTAAGAAGACCACGACCTCTTTATACCTCTTCACTCAAATCTGCATCAAGGCCCCCCTTAGCAGTGCAAACTCACATTACAACATGTCTAACCTCCCATCCGAGCCTGAATTCGAACAGGCTTACCAAGGTAAGGCTATCTCCCATGTCGAGGGCTTATCATCGTCCTATAACGCCTTTACCCCACAAATCACGTGTGGTGTTGTATCTAGAGGGTAGACCAACACTAACACATCATTCTCAGAACTCGTCAGCACACTTGAGGAGAGCACGCTATTCGAGAGCCACCCCGAGTATCGGACAGCTCTCAAGGTTGTCTCAATTCCTGAGCGCATCATCCAGTTCCGCGTAGTCTGGGAAGACGATGCCGGCAACCTGCAAGTAAACCGTGCATACCGCGTGCAATTCAACTCGGCGCTAGGCCCCTACAAGGGTGGCCTGAGATTCCATCCCACTGTGAACCTATCCATTCTCAAGTTTCTCGGTTTTGAGCAGATCTTCAAGAATGCTCTCACGGGATGTAAGTTCCACACTTCATTTATACCCACTCCTACTTTCTTCTATCACCCTCAACAGACAACCATCGAGAAAGAGAAGGCATGGGCATGTGGATTTGCGTGCAATACATGCTGATTGTCATTCTGTATAGTGAACATGGGCGGAGGTAAGGGCGGAGCCGACTTCGACCCTAAGGGCAAGAGTGAGAACGAGATCCGCAAGTTCTGCAATGCCTTCATGTCGAGACTGTGCCAGCACATTGGCGCTGACACCGACGTACCTGCCGGTGACATTGGCGTCGGCGGCCGGGAGGTCGGATATATGTTCGGGACCTACCGCCGTGAGAGGAATAAGTGGGAGGGTGTCTTAACCGGCAAGGGGCTAAACTGGGGCGGCAGCTTGATCAGACCTGGTAAGTAGCGGCTCAATCTCTTGATTCCGGTACAAAGCAGAGACGGCGTACGCTAATACTACGGAAACAGAGGCCACTGGCTACGGTCTCGCCTACTACGTTGAAGAGATGATGAAATACGCAGGCAAGGGCACTTTCGCCGGGAAGCGCGTTGCGATCTCGGGATCAGGCAATGTTGCGCAGTACGCTGCCCTCAAGTGCATCGAGCTCGGCGCGACCGTCGTGTCCATGTCGGACTCAAGAGGTTGCTTGATCGCTGAAGGTGACGGACACTTCACACCAGAGCAGATCAAGCAGATCGCAGAGGTCAAACTCGCTCGCAAGCCCCTAACAGAAATCCACAGCAAATCAGCCTTTAAGTACATTGATGGCGCACGACCTTGGGTCCACGTCGGACATGTCGATGTTGCCCTGCCATGTGCCACACAGAATGAAGTCAGCGAGGAGGAGGCACAGGCGCTTGTTGACAATGGCACATTGTTCGTCGCTGAAGGTTCAAACAGTGAGTAACATAAACGTTCCCTCTCTTCCTTATCTTTCCCAATCATTCACAACTCAGAGGGCAAAAGAATAAAAGAGCTAACATATCACTCAGTGGGTTGCACACAAGCCGCTATCAACGTATTCGAAGGAGTCCGCAAGACCAAAGGCGCGTCCGCAATCTGGTACGCGCCAGGAAAGGCCTCCAATTGCGGAGGTGTCGCGGTATCCGGACTCGAGATGGGACAGAACAGCCAACGTTTGTCATGGACAAGCGAGGAAGTCGACGAGAAGCTCAAACACATCATGCGCAAGGCCTTTGAAGACGGCCTCAACACGGCCAAGAAGTTCGTGCACGCCGCAGAGGGTGAACTGCCTAACCTTGTAGCTGGGAGCAACATTGCAGGCTTCGTCAAGGTTGTAGAGGCCATGAAGGACCAGGGCGATTGGTGGAATTCGAAGTTGTAAATGAAGTGAAGGTTCGTGAATAAGGCGTTGACCCCGATTGGGGATTAAAAGGGACAAGTGCGGATGGTGTGTTTGTATATTACGCTAAAAGGCAACGGCGTGTCTGGTGTTGGAAAGATGGTATGATAATGAATAAAATGATGTTAATGCTAAAGTCCTGTTAGTCGTATATAGATCGTGCCTGTGCTTACTCTTCTATTTGACTGCGGTGTATTGCTGTTTGGTTGCACAACAAATAAATACTGGAAGCGAAACTTACAAGAAGCGACGGCCAGCTCATAATCTCTTAGAACTAGTATTGTAGTCAGATTTGGCTCTACACCGTATTGCTGCTCTGTGCTCCAGATTTACTATGGTATACTTATTTGATTGCTTGATATGACTGTGCATGTCGTACGGGAGCCGAGGTGAGGATTTCAACTAAAACTTGTACTCTTGTTGGATACTTAATTGGTAGGTAGGTAGTCTGGCCCTTGTCGTTCCTTTGATGGGTACGAGTCAGATCGTCTAATAATCTTATCTCTCTGCTCTAGTATTCTTGGCCATCGTGAGCCAACCAACCTCCTACGAGTCTTACTTATTTAAATACTTAATCAAACTTAATTTATATTCACTTCCAGCGTAACATATTTGTTACCCATGAAAGCTACTTGGCAGATAGATGTGGTGTTCCGACTTGTGTGTTACGGTAGATAGATACGAGTCAGTCAGAGAGGAAACCCGATGCTTCTTCCACTAGCCTACGATAATAACTGAAAAAACAATAAAACCAAAAGCTCTCGATCGGGGAATCGAACCCCGGCCACCTGCGATTTTATTGTCTTAATGATGATGACAAGCAGGTATCCTAACCACTAGACCAATCAAGATGTTGTGATGGTTGACCAACAGAGTTCACACATATGGGGTTAGTTTGGCCGGGATTTGAAGCACGCGGAAGAACTAACGTGTATACCCAGGTAGATACTACAGTACGGTTGATGGCAGACTAGGCGAATCGAGGTGATTATGTCTGGAGGGGGGAGATATCAAGTGTCGCCCTGGACATGACGCTACAAGAGCCCTACTTAATTGTGGCGTTGATGTGTATTGCGAGCTATCGTAATAAGATAGTGACTGACTCCTTCGTGCTAGTTCCGAGGCTGCTAAGTATTAACTAAGGGGAGTGGTTATTGAGAAGGCCAATTGTTTGTTGGTATATGTGAGAAAGGGCAAGGGTGCTTGTTACGTCCCTGTTAGGTTTATCATGCGGAAGCTCAGGTCTAACACTCTGATGAGGCTGACATCTAAACACGAAGCGTGCTGGTAGATGGCGGTCATGCTCTAGCTCTCCTAGCCTCTGGCGAGCGATAGGCGAATCGACGTGCCTGTTTGAGGAGAAGATACGACGCCTTTGAAGTGTATAATCATAGAGGTTACAATGGGTCGTTAGATGCTTGGATGGTGATAGCATCTTCTGATTTCTAAGGCGCTTGAATTTCGAAGGGTTACTCTCTACGTTGTATTGACAGGGTATAGATAGGTGGCTTACATGTAGAAAATACAGAAAGTCCCAGGGAAGAAGTATCTTGGATCTAGGGCTGACGGAGTATCAGAAGTCCTGTCGAGTCAGGTTACAGCAAACCGCCGCCTCACCACCCCAGGTAGTTTTGATGATACCAACATGGCCTCGGGTGCAATCCCCAACGTCCGTTAAGAATTCCGTGCCATCCCGGGCAAGGTCGTAATTCGCTGTTACAGTCACAAACCACAGCCAGTCATTTGCTGGTACACCGTGAAACGGTTCATCATGTGATACCAGTTGCCCCCTGGCTAGGCTGTGATGAGTACGACCAGTCCTCGTCATGGCTCGCATTAGCATCGCTCACCGCGGCCGTAAAGGATGTGAACTGGCTTGTCTGGTGATGCGGATAGACGACATGAAGAAGGGGAGCGCTTCGAAATATTTAGGCAGCCAGGCAGCAGTTCGCTTGCCTCGGGTCCTGATGGACTCCCTATGTTGTACTCGATGGAGCGAGGGCGACTGTTGGGAGGCTGGAGTGTTGCCTTAGAACGCCATGCAGCGTAGTTACTGTTTCTAGGGTGTGTTGATGTCACTTGGCCGAGGCGAGCGTGCCGTCGAGATTGATTGAAGGGGCACTGAAATAGAAACTAGAAGGATTATGAATGGTACACAATTGGGTAGCAAATGACGACGAATAGAGTAATCTCCTGTTTGATATTGGCATGTTGGGTGTATGATCTTTGTTTCTTATTAGTTGCCCTAGGTAGCATGTCCATAGCCGATGTTCGGCCCTTCTGTTAGGGCGAAGTCCTAGATTCTCGACTGGCTACAGTTTCATTTTAGGGTAACAATGCTGCTCGTTGAGGTAATCCGCATGACTAATGGACGACTCCAATATCCCGATAAAGTGTCCAGTGTGCCTAGGATCTAAAACCACTTGTGACCGCGGAGCGACGGCGAACTCCTTCGACGATGAACGATACGTAGTAATAATATAGTCTCACTTCGGGGATGCCCTGGATTTGCCGGCCGCGTCTTCACGCCATTGTTATACCGATACCTCCCACCGAAAGGTCTCGCCATATGTTGGCGTGGAGGGAGCCAATGGATATAGGCGCCGTTTGGCCTAAGAGGAGACAGTAAGACGCTATAACCCGGGGCCTTGGGATGCGTCCGGCATCTAAGTCAAAGTCTCACTCAACCCACCTTTCCATGCGGGGACTTCTCTAGTACCAGATCTTATACACAGCCCACCGCCAGTCTAATGTCATATACAGGTAATACATGAATGTACGAAGCAGTCTAACATCAGGCAGCTAACGGTCTGATATGAAGGCGGCAAACATACATGTGACGTTTAATCTCGTAGAGCAACGCCGTAGTATTGCAGGCCAGCATAACGTCCGTAGTGATCCTTACTAGCCGAATCCGACACCGAGCGTAAGGCTATGCGCGGAATATATTGATTTTAAGTGTTACTGTGTAATTCACAATGGCGTGGGAAACATCGCCAAGAAGGATTCAGCCTCGTTATACTTGATAACACGCGACTCGTGGGTCCTTTGCGTCTAGGATTATAAGTCTTCTTCTCTACTTGCCTGATGACGAAATATAACGAAACGGTGATACAACGTATGCCGCATTAACGCGACTAATCCGAACGATGGTGACATCGAGGCACGACATAGGTCTCAGCCCGTCTAAACATAGTGATTGGGAGGAAAATACTTCGCCCACATCACTTCCACGTGGAGTGTCACTTTGCTCACTGTGATATAGGTGTATTAGAACAAATAGGCGTTAATGATCCCAATTGGGGGAGAGGGGGGAAGGGGGGGAATTGGAGGCGTCGCTGATTTAGGGGACCAAAAACCTAAATTTGGAGATTCGTATTTTGCATATCATTTTCACCAATGAGCACCGCAGTGTGTTGCTCCGAGTAGTAGTAATAGGGGTACGATTTTCTAATTATGTACATAATTTATATATGGTGTGCGCATGATATTATCCAGCTCTTGGATATCCATAGCATCTACTACCGTACTCCTTTTTCACCCCTGCCTTGGACCGTAAGCTTGGGGTTCGGGAAGACGGCAAGGACGGTAGGACCGTGCTTTTGGGAAGGGCTAAAAGAAAAGCATGGTATAGAACTACTGTACATGCCGTCCCTCGGAACAATAGGCGAAAAGGATTCGTCGTCTTCATGACGACTCCCAGTCTTGGGACGAAATCCTTCACGGGTCCTGGGGTCCATGGAGAACCTGACTGGCTGCCTGCGAGGGAATCCTTCTAATGAGCTCTAGGTCTAGGTTTAGGTATGACGGCTTGACTTGTCCCAACGGACCAACGGTCAGCCTTACCACTGTTGCAAATCTACTTCGGAATCGATTTAGATGACGTTGTAGTATCTTGTACCAGAGTGTACATACGCAGGCCTATAGTAGGTGCCCGGTTTGCAATTTGAAGAGTCCAGGACATTCTTGATAGCTTCAATGAAATTGATGATGTAAAGGTGAGAGTGCGAGCGGGAGGCATTGATTCTACCACCTTCGTAAGACTTTGTTTGAATAGGAAACGAGATGCCAAGGCGAGAGGTTGTTGGGCTCTTCATCTGTCGTTATCGTGAATGGTCAAGATAGTTTGCTAGATACTAACAAAAGGTATACCTATTCATAGATACGCTTTATGTACTGGTACCATTAGGGTTAGTAAATCTATTTTTACCTCGAATAGTTCCCCAGTGTTTCAATGTCTCAGAGTTCAAATTTGGGATGCCCAGACTATCAGCTCGACCCCTGAAAATCGTTCATTGGCCAATCACGCCCTCTCTACCGTACCTAGTTGAATGAGCCCATTTTCAGCTCTTCATTGTTAGCTTAGCAAACGAAGAACACTCCACCCTGAAACTTTTATCTATCGAATAGTGGGCAATGAAGACGCAAAAGTAGTCTATACTGATACTACCATCACTTGGATCTGCCTCTAATCATGTCCACCAGTGCATGCTAGACATCGGCCCCCGAGGATCCGACGTTCCATCGTAAGGTTACTGTGTCATAGATAACTGGGAGATGATCTGACCGCAGTATCTATCAATAAATATTTGCACCGTGGCATGTAAAAGTCTTTTTACTTCAGTCTTATTACTCCTTGTCAACCCATTACAGAGTCCTAGTATACTATTAGTAGGAATGCTATCAGCACTAACTGTGCAGGGCTATACCAGTACAGGGGCGGCACTGGCAGTAACAAAATTTCCAGCAATTCCCATCGCAATAGTACTTTAGCAGCAGTTATGGACCGGGTCCCTACACAATTCGTGGGCCTTATTAATTGGTATAACGGAATTGGCAACCCGGACATGTATCACTTTTGGGTAATCTGTCCCGTCCACCTGTCTCCTGTTAGAACTCATCCTTTGATTTGTTTCTATGCGAACGTCGGCTACCTTCGAATAGATCATAATGATGACGGGCGAAGGCGAAGAGCCAGTCCCCAAAAAGATTACTACTACTGCATCACCCCAGTCGCAACGTGAGTAAGGAGGGCTAATTGGGCCAAAATCGTCTTGATTCACCAATTGATCAATGATATCGGCTGTTTTCCTCAGCCTAGCCCCAGCAGCGCCACTACGCCCCAGAGCTAGTTCTGCAAGAACAGGCATAATCTTGGCCTCTAATCTCGTTCGGTTGCAACAGCAAGGATCAGGTCTAGGGGCCAAGGACCAGGGGTGGTAGGGCTGTTCTGGTCATCTTATCGCTAAGACACTCCGAACGTATTTCGACCCTTGACCCTTTCAAGGGTGGTACCCCATTTCTCGAGGCAGACTACGATCTGTGGCATATCGGAAGATATATGAAGTCACCATCCTGCGGACGTTAGCGGCCCAAGTATCGATGAGCGCAAGACAGTCTCGCTTCCTATCCCTTTCCTTCTGCGCCTCATCTTGTCTGGTACTACTTTGTCTTCGAAGACTTTTCACTATACATAATTCTTCATAGCAGCATCCCTGAATTAGGATTATTCTACATCTTAATCTTGCGCACCCGTTGCAGATTCGCGAGGGTCTGGGCCCAAATTCTTCAACACGGCCCACGCCGAAGCTATGCCATCAGCTATCCCAATCGATATGAATGGTATTGGCTTGGAAGTAGGACAGTCAACTGGGGTGGATTTAAGCAACACCAACGGCACGGGGGTGGTCAATGGCGTCGAGAAGAGAGTAAACGGCGTGAATGGTATGAGGGCAGAGACATGGCCTGTCAACGGGCATCCCCGCACATCAAGCCAGAGCTCTTCAGCTGCCTCTACCTCCACGCAGAGCCAAGGTCTAATGTCGAATGGCGTAGTGAACGGTAAGCACAC